AAAGAAACATATCTAAAATAATGTTCCCAAAGAAACCAATCTTATTGAACGTTCCCGAAAAAAACTTTTATATATTGGTTTCAACAAATTTTATTGAGTTAACAAAAGGATTAGACAACAGGCGTTGCCTATATAAGTCTTCTCCTGAACCGGTACAACATATATACATTTACACAGAATAATAAGGTATATTTACAAAATTATCGATAATTACTTACTTATTAAAAATATTGAAATAAACGGACAATTTTATGGGAAATATGTATCTATCTTTGAATTAATGATATTGCTGAATATTGAACTACACACACTAATAAGCAGGCTCACTCATCCACCAGTGGCGTAGACATCTATGTCACTTTCCATGTAATGCACAAGTACTGCGCCACTGGCAACATACATACTTCTATACCCACACACACACACACAAACATACTCGGAGCAGATTGATATAACGGGAAGTATTTAATAAAAATATGCTTATCATATTCAAGTTAGATGAATCATTCTCAATAAACCTATCCTACATAATATTCCCAATAAACCTATCCTACATAATATTCCCAATAAACCTATCCTACATAATGTTCCCAATAAACCTATCCTTCATAATGTTCCCAATAAACCTATCCTACATAATGTTCCTAATAAACCTATCCTACATAATGTTCCCAATAAAACCTATACTACATAATGTTCCATAAAAAATGTGTTCTACATAACGTTCTCAAAGAAGCCTATCTTGCATACTGTTCCCAAAGAAATCAATCTTACATACTGTTCCCGAAGAAACCAATCCTTCATAGCATTCCCATTGTTAATAAAAACCTTGTTTTCCCCGTTAAGTTGTCATTTATTGTTATATCCTAGATATCCAGCGTAATGTTTTGTTACCCCACCACAAGATCGAGCACGCCTTGTAAGGATATATAACGTTTTGTGTTCCGGTCATGTGACGAATTCACATGTATATGAAACGTTGTAACATATAGACAATGTATAATAATCAGATTTGTTGTTAATTGTAATAACCTTTTCTACATACAGAAGATTTTATTTTATTTGTTTACTAGTAAACATATCAACGTATGCCAAATGGAAACGCTATATTTCCCATCACTCTTTAAATAAGGTTATCGAGAGGCTCAGCTAATATCCTAATTGAATATGTCCATGTAATCTATTGTTATCGTTATCTCAGTACAGTTAGGGTAGATACTATAATTAGAATCTAGGTCAGCTGTCATTTCTATAATATTGTTGTACGTCAGCAATCAGAATCTTAAGTTAACAATCGTAGTAAGTTGTGTTTTTTCTCGCAAAGCCCACCCCTCGATCGACATAAGATTAGTCACATAAGCTGCAATCTCTAATGAACCATAGTAATCAATTATGTTTCAGCTTAAAGCTGGTGGCTAAAATTGTATTTTGGTCCAAACTCATCACACATATTCTTTCACCATACTATTCATTTGTTGTTTGTCTCTTCTCAATGGAAACAATATTAAATTTAATAAATTAGTTTTGTCGAACCTCATTGATACAATCTCTTTACCCTATTGACTGTCGGACCTCATTGATACAATCTCTTTTACCCTATTGGCTGTCGAATCTCTATGGTACAATATCTTAACCCTATAGACTGTCGAACCTCATTGATACAATCTCTTTACCCTATTGACTTTCGAATCTCAATGGTACAATCTCTTAACCCTATTGACTGTCGAACCTCAATGGTACACTGTCTTTAACCCTATTAACTGTCTAAACTCATTAGTACCCTCTCTTTAACCCTATTAACTGTCGAACCTCATTAGTACAATCTATTTAACCCTACAGACTGTCGAACCTCAATGGTACAATCTCTTTAACTCTATAGAGTGTCGAACCTCATTAGTACGTTTTTTTTAACCTTATAGATTGTAGAACCTCAATGGTACAATCTCTTTAACCCTATAGAAATGACACAAAAAATCCCTTCTTGACCCTCATGTGTATAGATAACATTCAAATAAAGCAAGTTATCAATTTAGACATTGACCACTTTCATTTTTATTTTCATTGATAAACAATCAGAGACTGATAACTATGTGTTGCATCGCACTTGGACTCCCTGGTCCCGACTAAGCCTTACCTGTATCGAGATATTTAGTTGTTGACAATTATACTTCCTCAATGGCAACATACGATCCAAGTTTCCCAAACTCGTATTTATTTAAAACTATGATTTTGACATTACATCAGGTAAGAACGAAATCCTAACCTAAAAAAGTGATTCGAAGAAACCATTTTTGATAAAGTTCTCGAGGAACTTATCCTACATAATGTTTCCAAGAAACCTTATGCACAAAATGATCTTCATTAAACCTTCATAACCTAGGGTCACAAGGACATTTATCCTGCATAATTTTCACAAATGAATATGAACAACGTAAAGACCAAAACGCTATCATTCATAATGTTCCCAAAGAAACATATCCTACATAATGTTTTCAAAGAAACATGTCCTACATAATGTTCCCGAAGAAACCTCTCCTACATAACGTTTCCAATAAAACCTCTCCTACATAACGTTTCCAATAAAACCTCTCCTACATAACGTTCCCAAAGAAACCTCTCCTACATAACGTTTCCAATAAAACCTCTCCTACATAACGTTTCCAATAAAACCTCTCCTACATAACGTTTCCAATAAAACCTCTCCTGCATAACTTTCCCAAAGAAACCTATCCTACATAACGTTCCCAAAGAAACCTATCCTACATAACGTTCCCGCATAAACCTATTTTGCTACATGTTGCCACATAAACCTATCCTGCATAACATTCCTTAAACAAAATTATCCTACATGACGTTCACATAGAAACCCAAACTAAATAACGTTCCTTTACGTTCCCATTGTTAATAAAAGTCTTGTTTTCCTCGTAAAGTTGTTATTGATAATCTTGTCGATAAAATTGATAATAGCTACGTATTGTATCAGGGGTTAAGGGTTCGAGTCAATCGGGGGATTTCCTCCTGTCGACATCTATTCTACCGAATACAGTTTTGAGAAGTCTGACTACCAGAAAATTTATGGTTCCGTCGTAAACTCACAAATATGGTCATATGTTTATTTCCTAAGTGTCATATTGAATATCATTTAGTAGAAACAAATGGAATTTATACTTGTCGGTGGTTATCATCATGCAAAATATCACACTACACAGTTTGTGCTCTTCTCGGAGGGAGATATGAAGGTTTGATTTCCTCATTAAACCGTGTTTCCCTAATGCAGAAAAGTATGATTAATTAAGAGAACAGATCTTCATAGTTTCCTTCTAAACTGACAATGAAAAAGCAATGACTTACAGAGAAACATGTCATTCATCAGATGATTTCTTTCTTTTGAAACAAAAGCCATTTTTCAAAGAGAAATACTTTAGTTCACGCCAAATGTGAAACATTGAACTGATGCACGCGTTTCTTAGACATATCATGTGTACTGTTTTGTTGCCCCACCACAAGTTCTAGCACGCTTTGCAATGATATGGTTTGTGTCCCGATCATGTGACGTGTTTAGATGTATTAGAGACGTTTTAACATATAGATAAGGTATTATAATCAGCTTTGCTGTTAAATATAATTACTTTATCCATATAAAGAAGATTTTTCGGAGAGGTATATACTAGTAAACATATCAACGTATGCCAAATGGAAACGCTATCTTTCCCATCTCTCTTTAAATAAGGTTATCGAGAGGCTCAGCTAGTTATTGTGCCCATGTAATCTGTTGTTATCGTTATCTCAGTGCAGATACTATAATTAGAATTTAGGTCAGCTTTCATTTCCATAACTATTTTATGCGTCATCAATCATGAAAAATCAAGGACAATACAAATTCTTTTACTTCAGCCAAATTCCTCGATATAAATTACAACAGGACAAACAAGGGCATGTGATAAACTGTAAAATGAGCGTGGCGATTTTGATTTGCCAATCGTGAACTTTCCTTTTCTTGATAGTGGCGTCCTTTTTCCCATCCTACGCAGTTGATTCGATCCAATTACCATGACTTCCGTGATAAATGTCGACTGCTGACAGGTCAACTTATATATGCTAGCTATTGACGGCTGATGGTTTTGATAATACTCATCAGTGTGCCTTGTGCCATTATTTGAAATTGTCCTAAGTTTGCATAGCTGTCGTCAAAGCTGTTATTGATTTTCATAATTTACATAAAGCTTGTGATAGATCATATTGCTTATTTTTTTGTAGATAAAACTTATGTTTAACATACGTTCTTGTAAGTGTTAATTCCTGTGTAGAAGCTGGGATAAATAATTAAATATGATAGACTGATTATGTGCATTTCCGGTGGAGAAAGTAGATATTTCACTGATGTAATTATTGTGTTTTTGATACATAAGGTAACACATCAGATTTTATACAGTTCCAATCTGTAAAATTTAAAAATGTATTGTTTTGTTTTTGTTTGATTTTGTTTTTATTTATTTTTGATTTCAAATCAAATTTCTAACACATCAAACTGTCTTTTTTGTTTTGTTGAAATAAATTAAATTTTTAATGTGTTCATATAAGAAAATAAACATCAGATTGATATAATTGGATAATTAAAACAACTCAATTTGCATTTTATTTTCATATAAATGTGACGGATTTGGTACTTTTAACGAAGTAACATAATGTCAACTAAAATAAACCGGTTCTCAAAAGGTCGACGTGTTGACATGATAACGTTGATTTCTTTCAATAAATGAATTGATCAATACTGAATATAGTTCTGTGTGTCAATCTGCGTCAGGGAATTTGTGAGACAACCAATCTGTGAACAAAGATGCAATGGATAGTAATAAAATTATAACAAAGAGACACATACATACATTTGAAACGACTGTTTTATTTTAATTTTAGCAATTAATATCAATTCTAATAAATAAACTAACTACGTGGGTCACAATATTCAAATAAAAGTATTATATAAAATGTTAGAACCCGTAAATAGCACAAGTATTGTTTTGATAGAAACTAGAAACAAAGAAATATACACATATTATTATAGAAATATTTAAATGTACATATATAATATAAATAACTTATGTTTACATGTTAAAATGAAAAATAGAACAGATATTTCAGGAAAAGTTTCCTATTTTGGTCATGTGGTGATAACACCAGTTCAGCAGGAGTGAACTGTATTTATGGCGAAGCAATCAGTGCCAAAGTGTACTGGTGTTACTGGAGTAGACTCATACAAAATTCAGTCTGTTACTTTTATTTAACTGATAACACATTAGTTTATATTTTGAAAATAATTTTGTGTGTCCACTTATAAGATAAATGTATTAAAATAGACACATGAGCTATGTACGTTCACTAACAGAAAAATAATGTTATATATATAGAATAAATTTCTATTTTGGTCAGGTTATGAGGAGATAACTCGTGTTGATCATGTGTAATTGCTAATTGTAATAACTAAGTAGATATAGTAGTAGTGCATACCAAGAAGATTGCAAATATAAACATGAACAGTTTAAGTTATCACCTCATCACCTGGCAAAAATATCAAACTTTTCCTTAAATATATTTGTGATCATAAAAAAGAAGCTGGCTGCTCTGAAATTCAACAAATGGTATTCAATTATGTGACATACTGTAATATACATCACACAAACACTCGGTATTACATCAGGCACAAGCCTGGTCTGTCAATACACCCGTAATATATTGATTATATTATGGGGGTATTGACTGATGAGGCAGGTACCTGTGGTGTTACATTGCTGTTCCTTGTATACAAGAATACGATATATTGGGACTAAGTGGTGGGAAGTGATGTGTTGCTGTTCTTTGATGACCATTTAATGCAAAAATTACTGGTGTGTCGGTGAGATATCCCTGAGTGGTGATAAAGAATGAACTATCGTCCTCCCTGAGTGGTGATAAAGAGTAAACTATCGTCATCCCTGAGTTGTGATAAAGAGTGAACTATCGTCATCCCTGAGTGGTGATAAAGAGTGAACTATCGTCATCCCTGAGTTGTAATAAAGAGTGAACTATCGTCATCCCTGAGTGGTGATAAAGAGTGCGATATCGTCATCCCTGAGTTGTGATAAAGAGTGAACTATCGTCATCCCTGATTGGTGATAAAGGTTGCGATATCGTCATCCCTGAGTGGTGATAAAAAGTGAACTATCGTCATCCCTGAGTGGTGATAACGAGTGAACTATCGTCATCCCTGATTGGTGATAAAGAGTGAACTATTGTCATCCGTGAGTTGTGATAAAGAGTGAACTATCGTCGTCCTTGAGTGGTGATAAAGAGTGCGATATCGTCATCCCTGAGTGGTGATAAAGAGTGCGATATCGTCATCCCTGATTGGTGATAAAGAGTGCGATATCGTCATCCCTGAGTGGTGATAAAGAGTGAAATATTTGCAACACTGAATGATCAACCATCCTCAAGTACATACCAAGTGTTGAAAATAAATCGTTGGAGTACAATGTATATTGAACATGCCACCTCGTGGGTGAACAAAAATTATGAATATATAATTATAATTATAGTTATAATTATAACTATAAATATTAATTGATTTGTTTTGAATATCGCTTTGTAACAGAACCCTTTTACTCAATGAACAATCGGAAGCCTGTCACTTCAATTGCATAAGAGAATTCGTCAGCCTAACGGTTAACGTGCATTAAATGTCAGTTATATATGAGTAACAATCCTTGTTTTACCCTTGTCTTGATAGCTATAATTAATTTCATTATATTAAGAAATTCTATTACGAATATAACAAATCACGTGTTGTAGCCCAAACTTGTAATTGTTATCGGTATAAGTGTTTTTTATAGGAATTTTTCGAAAGCATTATAATATGTTTCAGAACACTGATCCCTCTAGACATGGATTTTCATGTTTTAGTCTCTGGTAATTCTTAGTGGACAGAATGGCCATGCGGTGCAGTAAATTACCAACTTTGTTTGGCGTTTTTTCTCTCTCGAAAAACTAACTTATTATAGGAATGTTTCCTAATGCCTTATTTCTAGTTATTGTTTGATGTTTTGGCTGGAATTGAGATATCAAAGCATGGGTATAAAATAGTAATATATCGCTCAAACATTTACCGTACACATTGTCAGCTACTGCCTTTATCTAAGAGTGCTAATCCTAATAACACTTTTGTCCATATTGCAAATATTTCACAAAGATCACATTCTGTGTTTCCGGTTTCGTAGGTTTTATAATCTGTTTCTGTCTATTGTTGTATTGACAACACTGTCAAAATAACAAGTGTTTATTACGAAATACATCAAATAGCTTTCTTGCTGACAGAACCATTCTCCGACTTGTTTTTGCCCGAGTCCTCAAAGTTCCAGTCGACGGGGGTGATCATTTGCTGTGTCTTCTTGTAAGTCCAATATGGCGTCATGAGGAATGTGACGAGCACGAGCTGGGAGTACAGGGAAATAAACATGGTAGTGGGCATGGCGGACCAGATCCGCTCCCAGTTCTGATAGGTCACATACCATATGTAGCATTCCACCACAGATCGAAGATGGAAGGTGTGAACCAACAGGAACTGATTCGCCTTCCACAACAGCGTGTGTGCCTTACTAGCTTTGAGGAGTGTCCAGCATATAGCAGAGAAGGGCGTACTCATCTCTAGAAGGAGCCCCCTTACACCAAAATAGTGTGCGCTGTCCAAGTACATGAGTAAAACGAACCCAAGTAAAGCCATCCAGTGATGAACATTTAACATAACACTGGCTTTCTTGTACACCATGTCTGATATAAGTAAAGTTCCACATTCGAAGACGAAAAATCCCAAACTTGTCGCAAGAGCAAAATAGCTAGTAGGGGTTGTGGAAAACACTGGATCTTTCAAAAGTTCTGTGTCGAAGAAAATAGCCCATACTCCAACGACAGTGCAAAAAGATCCATATACTCCGCGAACTACCGCTAGATTCCAGAAGATCTTTTCCTTGGATTTCAGATTTCTATACGTCTTTGTCAAAGATCCGAAGACAGCAGACAATAGGTACACGGTACCGAAAAATATAAAAGACGCACAAATGAAAAACAGTTTTGTAGAAGTTTTTTGATAATCCGCCTCTGCCAAAGAAGGGTGTATGCATTCTACCAAACCCATCGTCTCAACAACGGTAAGGAATGCTGCAGTGTTGACGTTAATGAGTGCTGCAGTGTTGACGTTAAAAGCAAAGGTCCTGTATTTACATTTAAGAGTGTGTGAGTGAAATTACAGGACTGATAGCTGAGTTTAATATATGATTACGCCTCTGACGTAGTGACTGATCGCGTGTTTATCTCACCTTGTCAACTCTCAAACAAATATTACATAGCTTGGCTCTGTATCTATACACCATGTACCAACATGCATCCACCAATCCGTGTCAAATTATGACGTTCTCTAGCAACCCATGGTCTATCTACCTAACTGTATCGAATGTTAAATAGTAACTCATGTGTACACGTGTAATTTTTATAAGTAATAACTATATTTATGTTTTGTTTGTGTGTCTGTGTCTGTGTCGGTGTGTGTATGTCATATGTTGTATTGTAAGTCATCAAAAGTGAGTTACCTCCCTTTAATTACTTTATCGTTCACATTTATGTATTTTCATTTCAAAATATCTATAAAATATATTTAGCTAAAGTTATATAATATTCTTCTAACACTCTAGCCACCTATGGAAAGAATTAATATAGGCTTGCCTGTTTTTGGATCCATTTGACCATACCACCATGTCAATAAAATCTGCTGAAATGAAATGAACCCGTGTCAAACCATATCGTTCTTTAGCAACCCGTGTCAAACCATGACGTTCTTTATAGGGTGTAACTGATCTCCAACCCTTGGTGGATGTTTAATCAATTATAGCCGCCACAAATATATATTAAAATTTCATTTTTTGAAAATATTCTCGTGACAGTATTAAATTCCGTGTCATGCGTATCATATTGTATGAAGTGCATTAGCGTCAAGACAACCCGAATCGTATATTATTTGTTAATTGCAATATGTGTTACATACCACGTGGGGTTTCTACGGGGAAAAACGGTTTAGTATTTTATTCAATAGTCAAACATGCTTATTATATGCATGAAAATTTCTCACAAAAAACATTGGTCGGATCCTATACCCGTGACCAGTCCTCAAAAACTCATGTAGACTGGTCATCCGGTGAATATCGATTTCTAAATATAGCCTATATGAAAATGCCCGTGTCGTAGCGCATGCGTAGTTAGACCTGAACGCGATCTGTCAGATGACAATAAAAGATGGCTGCTGGCGAACGTTTCTCCTCCGTTACATCAGAAAATTACCAAAACTATTCGAGGACAAAGATGCTGTTAACATAAAAAAGGCTATTGCATACGCAGTGCATGTCCTCCATGCTTATCTTAAGAAAAGAACCTAGACGATGCCTTCGAAAGCTACAATGCTGAACTGTTGAATTCCAACCTGTCTAAATTTTACACGGAGGCTCGCGTACGAAAATCAGAACCTTGAGTTTTGATTTGTATTATTTTATTGTTGAAGCATATAATAAAACACTAACGGGCTTTTGTGCTGGTAAATATGATGTGATATGAACCTGAAAAAGGGATATAGACCTCGGCTTCGCCTCGGTAAATATCACTTTTTCAAGTTCATATCACATCATATTCACCAGCACAAAAGTCCATAATTGTATAGTAGAACTATTGCATAATATGGTTTCAGAGAGATTGGAAAACAAGGTTAGATTTGAAATGATGAAAACTTGGTGTAATTAAAACCAAATATAAGATTGGAGAACATTTCTATCTAGTGTTGTTAGTTTGATCTTAGGTGATGGTATCTCTGAGTATTTTATTGACCATTAACGGACATCCGCATGTCAAAATTCTTCAATAAGATTCATCAGTTTGGATCAAAGTTTTAATTTCTACACAAACAGTGTACTATTAAACGTGTCGCAACGTTTCAAGACCGACTGGTCTCTTTGTCGAGCTATGACTATCGATAGGCGAAACGTCCCGGGCCGGGTGAAATTGAAAAAAATATACAATCAAAGTGCTTGTTAGAATTCTGTTATTTGTTATTCATGGTTATTAGATCATATTAATTCCCTGGTATAGATTTTCAAGATTTTCAAGATATATCAGCAAAGGCGATTAGACCTGGCAGAGGTAGCAGCAAACAAAAATGAACAATATTCCAGGAAAAATAACATTAAAATCTATGGTCTTTAGGAAAAGAAGGATGAGAATTAGAGAGATGTGTTCCCACAGAAACTTGACCAGATAACAAGTGTAAGAATTAACGGATACTATGACGTTGTGGCCATTCATCGAATACCAAATTTATCCTCACCTAGACCTGTTATTGGGAATGTTTTTAACAATGAAATAAAAACGATGGTTATGAAAAACAAGAAAATATTACGTCGAGCTGGTCTAAGAATGATACATGACATTACAAGGCCCAATGTAAATCTCATGTAAGTAGTAGGAAACAATGAAAACATTGAGTACTGTTGGTTCTTCAATTGCCAAGTGCATGGACTTTGCTGTGACCAAAGGACAGGGGAAATTTGGACTAAATGACAACATCAAGGACATTTTGTCACAACACATTCAGGGTGTGAATGAGCAGCAAACAAACACTGGACACTAACTCTGAAAATAATTATTGTGATATAACTGCACATGGTGATTAGGGTGGACCTCTGATCTGTCTATTAGTCCCAATCATCCAGTGGTAAATATATTTGAAGTGTAAATATAGGGTTCTGTTCTGTTCTCCGTATGGATATAATGCCATATACCCCTCTCATGGTAAGTGCTTCAACTACATGTGTATATTGATGTTTTTCATAAACTGGATTGCTACTTATTTCTAACTACCATAAGTGTTTCATTTTTGACACTCATTGTTAGAAACGAGTTGAAACGGATACTAAAAACTATGAAATTCCCTTGGTACAAAGATCAAATATGTAAAAAAAAAATATGTTACACTACCAAAGCACTTTTCACATGTATGTATGGATTACTTCCCCTTGCTGAAATGACATTAACCTGCCTAAGCTTGATCAGAGTTTGTGTTTTGATGAGAGTCCAATACAAATGTGTATAATTCACTGTAAGTAGTGTATAAATCAGAAAGATATTACATAGCAAGTGAATATCCAAATGTACAAGCTTAACAATTGAGCATGATTAAAAAAAAGTCCATGCAAATTTGGTCTGGGTAAATAACCTCATGTTTAGTGAAATATCCAACATACATGTTAAAGGGTCAATGTAATAGTAATTACTTTATGGTCAGTTATTATATCACATTCATATCAAATCAATAACAATTTGTTTGATGAATGCATTTCTGTACTGCGTTTTCTTGTATTAGTACATGTCCATGTGAATACGCATACTCACTATAACTGTTTAAGAAAGAAAGAAGGTTCCAAATTGTACATAACTTTGGAATGAAGTTTATTTAAACAGTATTTTATTCAATATATGGCAGTGACAAAATAATACAAAATAATCAAAGAGGATTCGAAAACAAGTACATAAGTACTTATATTAATTCGTCTCCTTATTAATAAACCTGGCAGTAGCACGGCACTGTTACATACATTTTGATTGTATAACAGACAAAGAGAAGAAGAAGAAATCAGGGAGATGAGGGTGGAAGGGGTGCATCAGGAAATGAAAGAAAGTGGTTACGAAGAGAATAACGAGAAGAACTGCATTACTTAATTGAATCTGGTTGGAATGTGATTCATAAAAAGGTTACCCTAATGAGCTTTATATAAGGATGCATTAAATACATTGGAAATCTCTAAATTGCCTTACGTTGATTCCAATCAAAAAGTATACTGATATCCTGCAAAATGCAAGAGTGTTGTAGTCGATATTAATTCAAGTATAAACAAGACCAATTAAGTCTAAATATCATACTGGCATGTCACAAGTGTTGTCGAACAACATAGGTTTCAAAGTTAATGTACATTGTTTAAACAATAGCAATAATTACATAAAAAAAAAAAAAAAAAAACTTTCACTAAAATCGTTTCGACTTAAATTTTAAAATAGATACAAGTTGATTTATAGTGGAATCACCGGATCTGAAACCCGACTGACAAGATGAAAATAGGGACTTGTCAGTTAAATAGTTATAAACATATTTATATATACACCTTTCCATTAATTTTACCTATGATAGACAAAAGAGAGATAGGACGGTAATTTCCGAGAACAGATGGATCATCTTTTTTGTGCACGGGACTAACATTCGCCCTCTTCCATTGCGATGGGAACTTATAAGTAGTAAGAAAGTGTCAACTTTAGAAAGTCTGTCACGATATTCGTCGTAGTTGCCTAGGTCATAAAGCCATACCTTACGTTTAAAACTGGATTTTAGGGGTTTTGAAATGTTAAGAGTGCAATACACGGGACAATGCTATCTAATAGGCTGATCGAGGAAATTTTCACCGACATGACACATGTTTACTAATGGATGAAGTTAATTATTAAGAATGAGAAATCTATACAATGTTTATTTCTAGGTGAAAAATGCTTATTATCATTTGTTTAAAATGATGTAATGTGTTATATTGATAAATGTACAGTATATCCTTAATATAGAAAGCACTGATTGCTCAACAATACAATTAAAGATATCAGGGTAATGATACCAGGAATATATATGAAGATATTTGAACGTTGCTACATGTAAATGATGCACAATGTTTTGAGTTCAGTGTTATGGAATGTCCTACGTTTAGCATATGTGTACTAATTTTGTTTCTATCTTGTTGTTAAAATTGTATTTAGATAATAATACTGAAAAAAATGCCATTTTTTTCTCCACCGGAATTCTGAAAAAATTACTATCAAATTGAAAATATATTTTGTATTTACTTAAGGGTGACAATCGTGTGGAAAATTCAGGAAATTGGAAGGAGAGATAATGTATGATTGGTTTCATGTGTGGTCTAATAAAAGGAAAAATTGAGCATCATAACTGTAAGGTATACTAAACAAATTGTCAACTAAGTATAGTGGAGATGAACAAAATCTGTATGCTTAGAGGACTTGTATGTATAACAATATGCCAAAACATGAATATTTTATTTGTGTAATTGTCTTTGTTGTATGTTTCTTCTCTCTTTCCTTTTTTCTGTTGTCAGATTGTATAGTTAGAGAAAGATTTGGCAGAGAGTGGAAGGAGAAATCCGGAAATATGATTACTGTCTTGAATACGGGTGCATATTACAGCTATTTATTTTCCTTTATTTTGTTTTTACCTGATTATAAAAATATGATAATTTTCTTAATTGTGATTTCCGCAAGCAAGTATA